GCACACACACACACACACACACACACACACACACACTTGAACATTTTATAACAATAGCTTACCTTGTGTTTCTCTTTACAGCAAACTGGATCTCTTTTCAACAAGCTGGTGGAGTCAGGAGTCCCTGAGAGCTCTGAGCATGAACTCTCAGATACAAGAGGTAAGGAACTCTTTGCCCCAAACATAGAGGTCCCAAATGACCTTCTTCACTGTTATTACTTCTGTGCCATGTTCCGATATCAAGGGGGCTAGCCCAGGATAGACAAAAGTCGAACGTGTTTGTTCGTGGCTTGTACCCTAGCCCAGGGTGAGAAAGGCAATGACGATGAGGTTTCGATATAATACGAGCTGCGTTTTATAAGACCATTATGACCATGTGCTGACAGATCATGGGCACATTAAGAGTTTTTGGCTGTATATGAAAGTTTTAGAATAATAAGATAGCCTATGCAGAATTGGTCCTCTTTTGGGTGACATAGTCAGCCAGCCTCGGGAGTATACAACACCAAGGATTTTATAACCCAAGTCCTTGGTTTAATAGACTCCCGATGCTTGCTGACTAGGTGACATTATTTTGTAACAGTGGTCAAGCCATTTGACTCTCTGGGTTGCTTTCTTTTTATAAATGAAATGCGGGAAGACCTCCGAGCCATAAGTTGCTCTTCACTCTTCACGTCTCCTCCTGTGTCTTGTTGTGACGTTTAGGTATACTAACCAGAAAGTGCAAATTACACAGTATAACTTAATATACTGTGATTTCACTAACTGTAAGCTTAACTTTATCCGTACGTTGTGTTTTACTATCTTATCCATACGACGTGGGGAACTCTATGCCACCACTTTCCAAAGAGGAGATTTACTCTTTAATCTGATCCGTACACTTTGAAAAATACTGAACGTTTCAAAGAGATCTTCGCACTAGAAGTATTCTAAAATGTGAAGAATACAACCCCATGGGTACAAAATGACCTCAGGGCGTGCGGATAAGGTTAATATATGAATTGTTACCCTTTCAAAACGCATGGGCAATTTTTACCAAAAGCTGTTTTTTTTTTTTTTTTTTTTTTTTTTTTTTTGTTCTCTCACGTCCTAACAGTACAAGACCAACAAAGTGATTGTTGCGGACAACTCCATGGAAGATTGGATTTACGCTTGCATGGAGGTGACTCTTTTGTCTTT